CAACATCGCCCCGTTCATCCCCTGACGCTGACGTCTATATAAACCTCGATATTCTTCGCATGTAAATGTACTCACTTCTCGAGGGATCTATGGTCTGTTACTCACCAGCCCCCAATCCCCTTCAGGACTTGGTATGCCCCTATACCACCTACACTCCCCGCTCCGTTCCCCACCATCGTATTATCAATAACATCATTTCATCATCGAATCTTCGTCTCCGCCTCGACCCCGACCCCGCTCCCAACACAAAAAATTATAGTCCCATAGTGTAGTGGTTAGCACATGAGACTTTGAATCTCATGACCCGAGTTCGAATCTCGGTGGGACCTCGTGCACGCTTCCCGCGAAGGACGCGTTTTGGTGCGAAGCGGAAGAGCAACACTCGTGAGTGACGGTCAGACGTGTGTACAGACCGCCCTGAAGCGACAATCGTGGTCCGCCCTCTGGCGGGGCCTGACGCCCGTTTTGCTTACCACCGCTCACTATGGCCGTCTCGATGGGGAAGGGGCATTCACGGTCGTGGAGGGCTCAGGCAGGCTCGCGAGGGCGGCGCGGCCCGTCGGGTGTGAGAGAAAGCGAGAGTGTGTGTGAGGCGGCGCGTTTCGCCACAGCGACGGCATCGCCGTGCTGTTGCAGGTCGCTGATCGTGGCGGCGGGTGGTCTGGTGGTGCGGACCGCGACCTGGCGGCCGTGTCTCGGCACCGTCTGCGGCGCGTCGCCTCGTCGCGTGGCAATGGAAGCGGGAGGGGTGGACCCGGGGAGCGCGCGCGACCATGCCTCACGTCCCTCGAGCTGCGGTTGCGCATGAACCGCGTTTGGCCACACGTTCCGCGAACGGAGGGCGCGCCGCCTTGGAAGCGACGTGCGGCGATCGCTGCGCGCTGTCGCCGCCGCCGTCGGGGCTTCCAAGCGGGGTCCATCGATCGGGGCAGGCCGGACATCGCGCTCGCTAACGCTAACGAGGACGCTAACGAGGACGCAGGCTGGTCCCGCCGCCGTCGCCGCCGCCGTCGCCGCCGCCGTCGCCGCCGCCGCCGTCGCCGCCGCCGCCGCCCCGCGGCTGTCGGAACACCCCGCTCGCCGCCGCCACGGGCACGGGGGTCCCTCGCTGGGCCGCCGCATGCCGCCGCCGCCGCCGCCGCCGCCGCCGCCGCGCGCAGGCGGAGGGAAGCCGTGTCGGGGCGGCGGGGCCATGTCAGGCGCCGCGGCGTCGGGCAGCCGACGGCGGCGACGGCGGCGACGGCGGCGGCGACGGCGGCGGCGACGGCGGCGGCTGCCTGCAGGACGACAGGGGCCCACGTGTGACGTCGCCGCGTCGTCCGTTCCGCTGGACCCTCGGCGCGGGCGATGGCGCCACGGCCGCGTGTCGTCATCGGCCTGCGACGGGCATATCAGGACTCGCAGCGCGGCGACAACGCCCGCGGCGGTCGACCCAGACGACCGTGCGACGTGGCCGCTCGGGCTCCGCAGTGCATCGTCTCCCGCCCCTCGTCCTATCGCATCGGGTCCCGACGCCGCTGTTCTGCCGAGTATCACCACCGTCATCATCACCGCCGTCGTCGATACCTCAGGCCTTGGTTTTGTCTTGCCGCCACCGACTCGTCTGCCCTGGCATCTCGCATTCTCACTTTTCGCTCTTGGCTCAGGATGGCCTGGACCTCCAACACGACCCTCGCCGCCGTCGCCGGCGTGGGCATCGCCGCCGTCGGCTATGTCGCCTGGTTCGACTACCGCCGGCGCCATGACGCCGGCTTCCGCCGTCAGCTCCGTAAGTGAGCGTCCCTTCATCAAGGCTCTCCGCTGAGCGGGGTCGTATCGCCGCTCAAGCCGCGGCGTCGTCACCAGCATCGACTCACACCGCTCGATCGAACGGCCTTTCTTTTTTCGATTTGATTTGATTTGGTCTGCCGCATGCCGCATGGATCACGCTTGTGGTGGGGGTGAACGGCGGGATGTCGTCCGCGCTGACGACCCCCTGCGACGGCATGGCTGGTCATGGATGACCCACCTTGGCCCTCGGGTCCGCGACGATCCGCCCGTGTGCAGGCAAGGAGCGTGAGGCCGTCCGCGCAAAGTCGCAGCGCCAGGCCAAGCAGGGCCCCGGCGTGTCGCCGCTGCTCGGCGATCTGTCGGACGTGCCGCCCGAGCGCCAGCCGACGTCGCCGCAGGAGCACGAGGCGTACTTCATGGAGTTGCTGAGCACCGGCGAGCGCTTGCTCGGCATGGGCCCGTCGCGCTTCGACGCCGCCGCCGTGTGCTACTTCCGCGCCCTCAAGATCTACCCGGACCCCATGAAGCTCCTCGAGGTCCTTCAGCAGACGATGCCCGAGCCCGTCATGAACAAGATCCTCATGCTGCTCTCGGAAGACGTCCGCAAGCAGACCCAGGCCCAGGCCCAGGCCAAGGCGGCCAAGCCCAAGGCCGCCGCTGCTGCTGCTGCCGCGGAGGCCGAGGACAAGACGGCGGAGGCCAAGGCGGAGGCCAAGGCGGAGGCCGAGGCGGATGCCGAGGTCGCGGCCGAGGCTGCTGCGGTGGTCGAGGCGGTGGCTGAGGCCGTCGCCTCTGCCGAGGCCGCCGAAGCGGCCGTCGAGGAAGCCATCGAGGAAGCGGCTGAGGTGGCGGCTGCCGAGGAGGCGGCGGAGGAGGCTGCGGACGAGGACGCTGCCGAGTCGGCGGTGCTCGTCGAGGCTACCGAGACGGTGACGGTGACCGAGGCCGGGACCGAGGGCGGCGCCGTGAAGGCGACGCTCGTCGAGTCGGAGTCGACGGCGACGCTCGTGGTCGAGACCGAGGCGTAGAGCACCGCGTGTGGCGGAGCTGCGGATGACCTTGCGAGACCGGATCGAATGCGGGTCCTGTCGAATGCGAATATTTAAGATGCGATGCACATGATCTACATGGGAGGAGAGAACCGAAGCAGCCGAAGCGAAACCACACCGGCAACACAACAAAGACGCAGCGGAGCGACGGGTTTACCACTGCATGGGCGAGGCTTGCTGGTTCATGCGGCCGCGGTAGAGGGTCTGGAAGACCTTGCCCTGCAGCAACGTCTGCTCAATAATGCCTTGGACGCATTCGGGCGTGACGCGGCCGTACCACACGCCGTTGAGCGCGTCGATGGTCGAGAAGATGATCAGGTTGCCCGCGAACTTGTGGCCACCGTAGTGCGAGGTGAGGAAGACCTCGACGGAGCCGTCCAGGTGGTAGCGCGGCAGCTGCCGGCGGAATGTGTCGGCGAGCATGGGCCCAATCACGCCGCAGCGCTTGTCGCGCTTCATGTGCCCGCAGATGCCGATCCAGAACCGCGGCCGCGGCGTCGTCGCGTCGCGCGCCAGCGGGTCCGTGCCCGTCAGCAGCGCGAGCGGGTGCGTCGGGAACTGCGTGTACGCCACCCCCGCCGGGATCGCGGCATACTCGCCAATGGCCTTGGCGACCAGCGGGACCTGCGCGGCGTCCAGGTGCGGGAAGTACAGCCGCTCGGGGAAGCACCAGACCTCGACGCAGTTGGTGGCGTCGTAGTCGTTCGTCGCGACCGCTGCGGACGGCGACGTGGCGGACGGCGCAGCGGCGGCGGCGGCGGCGCCGGAGGCGGCGGCGTTCTCGATGCAGTTGATGAAGGTCTTGCGCACGGCGCCGCTGCCCGCGGTGGCGACATCGCCCGAGAGCTCGCCGGCGCTGCTGCCAGCGCTGCTCGGCCGGCGGCGCGGCGGCGCGGCGTCGACCTTGGCGAACGCTGTCACGAGCACGCGGCCCACGCTGTCGCCGTCGGCTTCCTCGAGATGGCCCGGCCACGCCTTCGCTTGGCCCCCGCGGAACAGGATGTGGCGTGAGTGCGGCTTGACGCCTGCAGCGTGCATCTCGTCCGGCGGACTGATGGTCTTGAGCATGCCTTTGGAGATCGAGGCGGCCGGCGCCTCGCACGGCATGAGGCACGCGGCGCACGGGTCGGCGTCCGTCCAGTTTGGCTCGGGCGCCGCCGCGGGCGCCGGGCCGAGCCCGAGCTTCTCCTTGAGCAGCGAGAACATGGCGCGCGTCGGAGTCCCACCACGAGTGGGCTGAGCCACACGCGCGTACGAAGATCGGCGACGGCCGGCGCAGGTCGGAGCCACACACCGCACGCTGCGCAGCGACAAGACGAGCGAGGCGCGCCGGGAGAGGGAGGATGGCGAGGGCAGCGACGGGGAGGGCGATCCGAGGCAGGACGGTCAAGACCGGCGCGAGCAGATGCGAAAAGGTGTCACGGCCCGTCGTCCCCGTCGTCCCCGTCGTCCTCGCCGATCCCATGCGTCGAGCGCTTCGTACTCGCGGGCCGGAAGGGTTCTGCGCCGCGTATCGTCGCTCAAGATAGCGCGGAAGGTGACGAAGGTGCTGATGGACTTGGGCTCATCGGCTTCGCCCATCGCAGGCCCCGGCCATCAAGGCGGTGGCGCGCCTCACCCTTCCCCGCCGCTTCGCCACGCGCGCCGCCGCGGCTTCCCCGACGCGCCAGGCCTTAACGATGCGCCACGAGGTCAGGACGCCCGTGTGACGGTCCCACGCGTGAACCCGGCGGTCTCCCGCGATCACAGGTCGGAGATGACGGCATGGCGGATCACGGCGCATCAGACGATACCGAGCCGAGACCCGATCAGCGCGCAGTATGAGTACGTCCGTTGGTATCCGCCTCTCTGGCTCGGCGAGAAAGAGAGAGCCTTCGCGAGGTCTTGTCTCGCCTCGTCTCGGTGGCTTCCCACCAAGCCTACGAGGCTTTTGTTTTCTTCCAGAACGATCAGGTATGCGCACGGAAGACATGACGTGGATGAGCTCGAAGGGAGATCGATGCTTGAAAAGAGATGAGACCACCGTCGCACTGCGGCGGCTGATGAAGCACCGCGCCTTTTTGTCGCCTTCAAGACAGCGCGACAGCTCGACGGGACCATTCGTGAGCGCCGCGCCTACAGGAGTAGGCGCAGGGCCCGCAATCGTCGGGGTATAGCAAAGCCGCTGCCGCTTGCCAGAGCCAGCGCATATCCGATGGTGCGAATGGCCTCGGGCTGGCGCGCCGTCTCCTACCCACGCGGGATGACGAAGACAACGCGGTATAAAAACGGAGCGACGAGGCGCGGCGCGGCGCCGTGTCTTCCGGGCAGGATGTGCCGTCTGCACGGTGAACGCCGTCGCGAGCGGCGCCAACGACTTGATGAGCGGCGCGTTCGAAGCCATCCCACAACGACGGGTGATGTTCCAGACCGTCGCCGATCCGTCGCCCCTCCGTCTGGGTCGTTCGTCTAGGCGGTGTGGGTCGTTCGCACGGGCCGTCGAAGCCGCCAGCCTCGGCGGCATCACATAT